GGGTCAATTGGGGGGGGGAGACCACACACACACACACACACCTGTAATACTTTCAGCAATAAAGATAAATTAAAAAAACACACACAAAGTGAGCTTGGTCTAACTTGCGCCCTTAGTCTTACATATTTTAAGACAGAAGTCAAAACCGATTGCAATAGGCACCAAGGGGCTAGCTTTTTTTCCTTCCCTCTAATTCTGTTATTTCTAATTTTTCTTGCTCGAAGTGAGCTAATACCTGGCATTCTAAAACCTAGATGGTATTTCTCATAATAGGATTGGTCCTACCTGTAACTAATATTCTCTCCACCTGCTTATCCAGGGGTGCATAGCTTTTTCAGGTGGTATCATTTTACAGGTTAGAAAAGTAAACGATTATTTACACAGTCACCTTGCTCAGGAAGGAGTGTCAGATTCCAGAAGGTGTGGCTCTGACCTTTATACTGTGCACCTCTCATGGGTAGAGCCCTAGAAAGCAAGTGGTACCCTTCACTAATTCACACTTTGCTGGGGCATGTGCCAGAGAATGAGGTGACTGACCATGGCAAGCACATGTCTGGAAGACAAAGTTCACCCATCACCAGGCTTTAGGCCGCTAATAGTCATTTTTATCCCTTCATTCAATTCTGTTCCTACCACTACATTTCTTAGACTGTCAGATCTGGACATGACTTAGAAATCAAAGTTTCTATCCCCATCATCTTATACATTAAAAAAAAAAAAGCCAGGGAAGGGAAGTTACAAGGCCATCTATCCATCCAGCCAGCTCTGGGTTAGCCAAATGCAACACAATAGTTTACCCCCCAGTCCCAAACTCTTCCCACTACAGGCCCCTCCTCTCATTTTAATATTTAAATGTGTTCCCCCTGCCTTCCCCGTAGGATTTTCTCTGCCCCTCTCTTTACTCTCCTTTTTTCTTAATACTGCTTAGGGTTGAAATTGGACTAAAGCTTGGGTTCTCCCAAACATAACCAAGACCTTGTGCATCTAAAGACGTATTTATCTTTAAAATCAACCCCCTTTTACGCAATAATTTTACTCTATATTTTTCAAAACCATTATGTACAAAGATATATGTTGACTTTATTTCCAGTTATTTTTTAATGTAGTAAATCTTGGCTACCCCTGATTCTGGAAATTCGAAGCTCAGCCTTCCCTCTCTATCTGCTCCTGGAAGCACCTCTACCACCTTCACCCGAGAGCCCCTCTCTCCCCTACGCCCGCCCCCAGGACTGTTGCTGAATTTCTGTGCGCTTTCACGAAACTCAGAGAACCAAGATGAGGGAAGGACGAGGCGCAGTAGGCATTATGCAAAGTGCTGGCCGCATTCCAAAGCTTCGGCCCTTTTCCAATTTCATCTTACTGCACCCAGCACAAGGATCATGTCGTTGATCTCGGGGGTGGGGTGG